TCTTTCTTCATGTACTCTGTGTGACCTAACGCTATCACTAAAATTCACATTTGAAAATGACAGGCTACTGAGGTTCCTTCTCATCTATTTCTCACTAAGGTGTAGGCCACTGATATCAGGGCCCCAACAAACAGAATAGACCCTATGGTAGGTGGGATCAGGCTGGTCAAGACTAAACTTCATGCTGAATCATTATACCAATACATTTTGCATCCACAATGAGATGGGAATAGTCCCATTTCTGTACATTTGAAGTCCAGGATGAGTAAAGTTGGTCTTGTTGCAAAATGCTACTATAAAGTCTAAAATATTGTATATTTGCTGTTAAAATTTGAGCTGTAATGCTGATGTGAGAGGAAGGACCTGTGCTTCTACACCAACATTATACATGTACAATTAAAATAATACGAAGACCACAAAGGTTGGCAACACAACTCAGTTATTGTAATAAATCTCAGATACTGTACATTAACCTAAAAGAACTGTTTCCTCAAGCAAAAGCTTTATACTGTTCAAATTTTGCCTTTTCTGTCCGGTATGATCCATGTCAGACATGTATACCAGGAAGGTTTCAGATCACTTGGCATTTTACACATCAGCTGCTCGCTTGCCATTTCTATTCAGTTTATTTCAGCTCACAAAGGCTATATTAGCACAGTCCCCAATCAAAATAAAAACTGGAATATTTCATCCCTGCTGAATGCAACAGGCAGCTAATAATGTAAACTCCAGTGCCCTCAGCCAGATTGTGGGACAAGGACATGCCCATGTTGTGACGGACTGATGTGGGACCTGCTGAGCTGGAAACATTTGTGGGTCCCATATCCTGTACTCCTGTTGAACCCTGTGTCTCATTAAATGCAGGGCAAAACTGGACTTTGCCTGAACTGTTCCCCAAACACACAATAACTTAATAGGAAGGCAGGTGAGCCAGACTTCCCTCACATTGAGTCTTCACTCTTATTGCTCCTCTGTTTTAGTGCTGCGTTTCGAGAAAGGAACTTACTGAATACAATGTAAAGTCACCCACACTGCCAATTTTCTGTGCTTATATTCCCTAAGGAACTGTCATTGTGTGTTGTTTAGGCAGAAGTAATGGATACAGTTACCTCTATGCATTTACTGACTTTAGAAAAGAATTATAACAGGATGCATGCCAGACATGTGCAGTTAGACCCTAGGAGATCAATTAGGACCTATCCTTACATTGCCAGCCATGTTTACAGGGTCAGACAATCATATCTGTGTGTTAGAAGAAACCTGTATGCACAGACTGCTGTTCCCCAGAGAGGTTATGACTCAACCTTGTACAGTTCTGCAGTCAGGTCTGTAAGTGTCTTCCACGATGGGGACAGCTCTAGCAGTGATGATGACTGTCAATGTGCTTGACATCTTAAAATCTGTTGCAAATCATTTTCTGCAGTTTAAGTTGCCTAGGAAGTAAGATAATGTCAAAAGAAGTCAGTCCAATAAATGGACAGGGACATTGCAAATGGTTCCTCGCTCCCTCTTTTTCAAAGCATTTTTCTTTCCTCAAACAGTCACTTTGACCCCTCTGTCCTTGCAACTATACCATTATTGCCAATCTCTTATCCTCTCCAAAGACCTCGGATATGCTGCTGATTCCTAAATCAGTGCTCATCTATATTGAAGTTCTGTATTTGTATCTCTCTGATCAGGTTTCTTTTCCTGCCAATGCACTAAAATTTACAACTGACATTCTCTGTGACTGCAACCAGAAGGCATTAAATCACTAACTACGCTGCAGTCTTTGACATCGCTGATCAGAGCACTCTCTTCCAATACCTCTCTTCCATTGCTCTGCTTTCTGATACCTCTCTCTCAGCTTTCAATTTTAGAAATCCAACTGGGGCCTAGCTGTTTCCTATTTAGCCTATTTATTCCCACTCCCCCAAACCTCCCTCCACCATGGTATTTATCTTTTTCTGTCTTCACCTAGTCGTGACCAAACACCTTCTTCAACCACCACACCTCTCACCACACTATTCTTGACTGCTGCATGGGTATTCTGGAATTCCCTTCCTTAAATCCTTCATATGCCCACTTCTCTCTTTGACAATGGTTTAGATCACCGTATTCTAATATTTCCTCCTTTTACATAGCATCCATTTTTCGATTCTACCACTGAGAAACACTGTGGGATGTTGCTCTTTGTTACAGGTACTATATAAATACATGTTATTATTGTTATTTACTAGTTGCTTCCTTATTTTTGAGGAGAATAATGAAACTGAGTGAAGCAACTGGGGCTTGCTGCAATTACTTCTCTGTATTCACTTGCTGTCGGTAAATTGCGCAGCTTAACAATTCACATTGGACCTTGTCTCACTGAAATGTTTCTCAATCCACCTACTGAACAATTAGAAAAGCACAAATGAGGCACATGTGAAAGACACAATATTCAGTTCAGATCACATGGGAGTCCTAATGAAAGTTCTGTGGAGGTTAAATGAGAAATTAGAAAGGCTGAAAGAAAATATTAAAATAAAGATATATGAAAATAAATGGCAAGGGCTTTGTACAAATATAAAAAATAAATTATTCAATACTGTTAAACATACCTGTAGAAAAGGAATTGACTTTGGAAAAAGAACAAACAGAACTCAAAGCTAAGAAATTCTTAGGTTGTTTTGACATGCACATTGTTGAAGGAAGCCAAAGAGGAAATAGCAAAGACTCCAGCCATAGTTTTTTGTTCTTCCGACATTCACATATTAAACCCGAGACCAAAAGGTAGCTAATTGTACCACTGTTCAAGAAAAGAGAGAAGAACAGACTAATTTATTATTAACCAGTTAACGAAGTATCAGTTATGGGCAAAATCTTTCAACACACAATTTGTGTTTAAGTTAGTGAGAAGTTAGAGATGAATCTGATTAACAAGAGCAATTGATATTGAGTTTTAATGACTGCTCATGTTTGACAACAGCAGTACATGTGGGGTTTTCTTATACCTTGTGCAGCATCAGCAATAGTGAGAAAGTTGGGAAAGTACAATGAGAATGAAAAAAAATCAGATTCTGAATCTTAAGAAAAAGATTTCCAATTTTCACCAAGGGTTTAAACAGCAAGTTCTGAATCGCACTAATGAGTAGTGATGACCTTATTCACATTTGCATCTCATTCATGCCGAACTTCATATAATTTCTATACTGTTCCGATTCTCCTTTCCATCCCCGAGAAAGAAGATGGCACCAATTCCTGAAATGCATGTCAGAAAGGTTAGCTGGTGGCACAGCTCGTTGTTTGCTTCTCCGGGCCCTCACCAGCTCCACAATAACCACAATTTCCCTGCACAGACATAGTGCTCTTGCACACTTTGTTCATGCAAGTTAGCACTACCAAACTACCGTCTTCAACAAATCATTGCAGCCAACTCCCACACCACTTCAACCTTTCAGGACATTACTTTGGAGGTCAGGGACACTTAGGACTTGCCTGCTTCTACGAGGTCACTTTGCACACATGAACACACAAATGCAACTCATGCACCTACACAAGAAACATGATAGGGAACAGCCTACTTCATTAGCATTCACTCTCACTTTGTGCCGGGTTTAAGGCTGTCAGTCTCTGTGACTTGCATTGCTGTTTAGCGTAGAGGGAGAAACAGGCAACTCAACACTGTTCAGAGAATTGAATGATTGAGGGGGTTGATGTGTGACTGGACTGTGTTAATGTCACATCTATAACATGTGCCAGCAGCTTATGGAACAAACATACTGCATGAGTTTCCATCAAATGCAATGGCTGAAAGTCACCATTCCTCAATGAAGCAAAGAGTGGAAATAGTTAGTCAGGAGGGCACTCAATCAAAGAATTCATCTGATCTCAATCCAACAGTTGATTATGAGCAATCAGTTCTCATATGAACATAGTCCAGGGATAAGTGTCCTTGGAGTCTGGGTCACAGGAAATCCTGCAGGTCTGCTGCAACCACAATTGCAGGTACATCAGTGGGAATGCTGCTGGGACATTCATCTGGAGGCTGGGCCATTCTTAGTCAGGGATGCCCCCCTAAGACAGTCAAGTGATGGACAGTCATTCCAGGGAGTTTAGCTATTAATGGTCTTGATAGCAATTTATGTAAAGGGAAGCAACGGTTAGTGGTATTATCACTGGACTGTTAATTCAGAGCTAGGTAATGTTCTAGGAACCCAGGATACATTCTCGCCATGGCAGATGGTGGAATTTGCAGCATCTGTATTAGCAGCAATTGTATTAATCATCCATCCACTGATTCTGTAATGCCATCTGACATCAAATTTGATTGGAAATTGAAAGGCCATTCTTTTAGCAACATGAACACGACAGATTATGAGCTCAAGTCATCAAGAATGCTACACACTTTACACAGTTGGCCCCCTGTCATGTCAGATACTCAGAGCTGTGTAGACACTGCTTGAAAATCTCCCTTGACTTTGCCATTTCTGAATCAGTTCTCATACCTGACACTTCAGTGCTGCCTCATGCATACATCTGCACAATGTTACATAGCTCTTTCTCTCAGCATGAAGGCACCAGGTCACAATGTGTGAGGCCATAACTTTACGCTTCACTGCAATTTTGTTTTTATTAATTCATGTGGTGTGGGTGTGGCTAAGCCAGCATTTATTGTCCACTCCTCATCCCTCATCAGGTTACAGTCATCCACATTTCTGTGAATCGGGTGTCACATGTAGGCCAGATTAGGTAGGGATGGCAGATTTCCATCCCTTAAAGGGCATTCATTACTGAACTAGACAGGATTTACAATAATTGGCAGTGGTTACATAGTTTCCATTAGACTAGCTTTTTATTATTCCAGATTTTTGATTATTGAATTCAAATTTCACCTTCTGCCATGGTGGAAATTGAACCCATATCCCCAGAACATTCGCCTGCTGTTCTGGATTACTAGTCTAGTAACATTACCTCTACTATGAGAAATCAGGGCTAATTTTACTAGTCTAATGCCTATTTCTCGCATTGCTCCACAGGTTATCCGGTACTCTTATGCAATGGAGCCAGCATCCAGAGAATTCACTGTGGTCCTGTAGAAATCAGATGGCAGCATCAACAAAGATATGTATTAAAACATCATCACCAAGCTCAGCAGGATCAGCAACCACAAGCGCCTGCTGCACAGCCTCCAGAGGGAGAAGCAGCAGGTGAAGATCCAAGAAGGTGGTACAGGAGAATAATCAGACCTGGCATCGATATAGCTCATTGTCACTATCCCCTGCTGTCAAGAAAATAAGTGCAGGCAGAGACTAAAGATGTCCCGGGCTATCATCACTGAACTGTGTCATTGAGTGAACTGCACTCAGAAGGGGTGCATGACCGCATCACCCCAGTGCCCAGCAAGATTACACCTGCCTGGAATTTTTATGACAGCAGCAACTGGGTACCTATGCATTATCTCCCAATTCTAGATTACAAATACAAACAGCAAGTCAGAGATGCTATTTACTCCCAATTACAGCAGTTTATAACTTTTCCTCACAACAAGGAGATTAGGCAGTTGGATTCTCCGACACCACTGGCTTTTCCCAGGTACAGAGCGCAAGAGACTGTACCTACATTATTTTGAAAGTTCTCTAGCCCAACCTGTAGAGTTAATCAATCAAACAGGATTGCACTGCATCAATATTCAACTCATCTGTGACTGTAGATGCCAGATTCTGAAAGTGTACACCAGATATCCTGGGAGCTGAAATGATGTATGCATATTGGCAAACACACCTTGCAATGTCTTCAGGACTTTTACGAATGGCTGATCGGAGACAAAGGTTTTGCCTTCCATGCATAACAGGCAACGCTTTTATAAAATCATCAAGACAGATGCAGAACGGAGATAAAATGCTATTTATACTTCAACCAGGGCTTGGACCACATCAGAACCATCTTACAGTACCGCCTAGAAAGAGTGTCCTGCATCATTGTAACATGCTATGCTCTTCACAATTGGAGCTGACAAAGGAGGAAGTGTCTTGGATACAGATGAAATGGGGGAATTGGGAAATTCCCTCTGAGGATGAGGGCAGTGCAATGGAGAAGCATCCAAGAGATCGTGACAGAGTTATGCACAGTCCAGTCTCAAATCCATTTCTGGGAGAAAAGAACGAGTTTTGTACTTTCGTTCACTGTGTCACTTTCTGTTGGTTATATGGCAAGCAGCCCCTAGTCAGTCCACAGTACACATGATCCTGTTTATTTGTGCACTCCTTGAACTTCTCTACTAATGAATAAATACTTTCTACCCATATGTTTGTATGCATTGTACCGTCTGCTGATTCTATCTTGAAATATCTACTACATTTTACACGTCCTCATTACCATTCGGGAGACTGCAGCGGTCAGTGAATTAGGGCAGTAGCATGGCAGGACATTGAGGTTAGATGGATTATAAGGCTTTGGTCAGCATGTGGAACCTAAACACGGTGAGCTGTAGTCCACCTTGATCGGCAACAGGTTGGGGTCTGAGGCATTTCCTTTCCATCATTTCATTAGCAATGGGCCTTCAATATTTCAGAATTCTTGTAGATTGGTAAATTGCTCTGAAACACTTGCTAATTTTTCAGGATGGACTTTAACTTACGTGAGATGCAGTGCTTTGAGCCTCTTCTCTCAATAGGCCACTGTGCTATGAGGGAAAGCGTAGATGTAAATTTCCAATTAAACACCACTCAGCTTTGAACAGCAGTGTGCCTCTTTGTAAAGCTGAAAGATGGAATCCACCATGTCTGCAGAGATGTGATGCATCATCACTGATTCAAACCTCACACTGACAGGATTATGTAAGGTGGAAAATTTATGTAGGCCAGGTCCTAACACAATCCTTACTCAATGATTTTGGCCTTAGTGTTGTTCACATTAAAGTGTAATGCCTTGGGTGCAGTCATCAACATCACAGTTCAAGGAACCCTGTTATCTGAGATTATCTGCAGGCAAGGAAACAGTTGATTGTGAGAGAAGAGCATGTTTGTCCAGTACAACTTCTTTCATCCTTGGGATGTCTGAACAGGCTGCTCATACGTCAAACAGGTGTCTCTCAGATCTGACAGCTCCAACGAGACTACAGCGGACATTTCAAGAGTTGTGGTTGGTTGGATCGCCGAGCTGGTTCGTTGTTTTTCCACAGACGTTTCATTACCTTGCTGGGTAACATCATCAGTGCAGCCTCCGATGAAGCATCATTGTGTTTTCCCGCCTGTTATTTAAACTCTGGAGTCCGTTGAGTTGGATTACCTCACTTCCGGTTTTCCTTTGCAATGGAGTGTAGATGGGGTTGAGCTCTATGTGTTTGTTGATGGCTTTCTTCAGGGAGTACCAGGCTTCTAGGAATTCCCGTGCTTGTCTCTACTTTGCTTGTCCCAGTTGAATTGGTGGTTGTCCTTATCCATGTGGATAGAAATGAGTGAGTATTGGTCATGTCTTTTTGTAGCCAATTGATGTTCGTGTACCCTTGTTGTTAATTTCCTTCCTGTTTGTCCGACGTAGTGTTTGTCAC